TAAGCATTTACGATTTGGTACTATTACATTGCTAGCAATATCACGAATTCCATTCGTACCTGTTCAAGACAATAACATAACCCGCGTTATTAATAACAGCATATTTAGTGAAATTTTACTTATAAATAAATAAGATATTTTATAACTAAACATAAGAAAAAATTCATGAGAAATCATATCTAATGATTAATTAGCCAAAAATTATGTCGACAAATTATTTAGCGATAAGATTTACGATGACTACAAAGAATAAAAATAAAAAATGAGAATTGAAAAATATACCTAGTACACAAACAAGGAGCAAAAAACACAAAGTTGATGAGAGTTTAGCCATTTGCTTGAGATGAAAAAAAATATATACACAAATGTTTTGGAATATGAATATTTAAAGGTAGAAAATGTGTATAAAGTCTAAAATCTAATTGATTGAAAAGACATATTAAGTAAAACAATAAATGGATTAATTATTGATTTGTTTGATTTGTACAATATTCTTTGACTTGACATATCTTATTGTGAAAAAATATTAATGTTCTTGTTAAAATGAATTATGTGAGACTTGATTTTTTTATTCTTTTATCTAATATGTATTATTAAGATATTAATTTTTCTCTTACAATAATCAATAGACATTATGATTGGTCAAATATTTTTTCAAATCAAATATTTTGAAAATATATTCTCTTTAAAAAAAAAAAGAGGGTTACACCTTTACCTCTTAATTTACCTAAATTATATATAAATAATTTTCAAATAATAATTTTTGTTTTCTTACAAGAATCAACTTATTTTTGAGAAAATATTTTTTGAGAAAAATATTTTTCGCCATAACCTCTATGTATTGATTAGATATTACCTTCATTATCCTTCAATTATTGATAAGATTTATTTTGGTTTTTCAGAATATCCAATATCAAATTACATGTATGGTTGAAAATATATCAAGAACTTATGTATCCAAGTTAAAGTACCGAAAAAATCTTTCATTTATTAAATAGAAAAGGATTTAAAATATCTTTGAATTATTAGAAATGGTATAAAACTATTCCCCGTCCACCTATTGGCTTCAAAATACCCTTCTGAACCATCTATTAGCTCTAAAATACTCTTATCATCTCCCTTTGGATTTAAAATTGACCACTTATTTATTAGGTATATGTACATAACTGATAAATTGTATAAACATACAACGGTTTCATACACTTATACAATTCACCAAAAAACATTAAATAGATATATCTATATAATTGACAGATTCGTATAAGCATTCAACAGTTTCATATACTTATACAATTCATATAAACTGACAGTTTCAATAGTTTGATCGATTTTTGAATGGACTACAATGGAATTCTTTTGGTTGAAGGAGACGAAGGAATGAAATTATACTGAAATAGAATCCGCTTGATTGCTGGGATTTTTTCCCTTTTTCATCCAATCAAAATTACAGCCCTTTTTAATTTAAACAATTAAAATGTATAAATTATACAAAAAAACACATCCATAGCAAATTACAATTATGCTACGGAATGCAATTTTGAAAACTTTGCCAATGCACAAAATTCTTAATTTTATATTTGCTATACATAAAATTTGCTCAATTCTAAATTAGAGTTTTTTTTTCTCTCTCTCCTTATTTTTGTTTTCTATCTCATGTTTGACGCTTCTATTAGATTTCGATTATTTCGAATTCACATCGCATAGGGTCTATTCTGAAGAAAGTTCTCCCTATCGAAGATCTTTAATTACCCACGATTCAAGTTTAAACCTTCTAAGAAATGTACAATTTCACCCACTGTACCAAATTTGTTGTTGATGGTAATATAAATTTATGTTAAATCTTCATCTTTCATAGGATTCTCCTTAAAAGAAACAATTGAATTTATTAATAAGCATTTTCAAAAAAAACCATACTTATTTTTAAAAGACAAACACATATTGCTTCATGTTCACCCTCCATCAAAGATCTCAAATTTAAGCTTTAAATTTGGAGAAAATTCGATTGATACTTATTTTTAGAGGACAATACACACTGCTTTAAGTTCATCCTTAACTAGAGGTCTCAACTTTGAACAATATGGAGAAAATTTTGTCGATAACATCACTCTCGAAATAAGTTATATAGTGCGCGATCTAAATTTGATCGAAATTCTAACACGAATACCAAATATCGAAATAATATATATTTAATACAGATTCCAAACATATACCGAGAGAAAAAAAACAATAGGGAACCATAATATTGAAAAAGCAAAATAAATTAAAGTATAGTTCTTTCCATTAAATCGAATTTCAAATTAAGAATGCTTAAATAAATCACATGTAGTATTGAATCAAAAGTTTTGATTTTTTTTTTGTGTGTATTCTAACAATCATGATGACAATTGCAAATTCTCAATGCTGAGCCAGGGAGTGTCTCGCAATCACCACTTGAATTTTTCGTCTTGAAATTATTAATACAATTCTTTTTACGACACTATTCGTTACAAAGTTTTTCACGGCATACACCCAAAGGTGTCAAGCATTGATCATCTGGTACTATCATATGTGCATCTATGCTAACCATATCACGAATTCCACTAGTATCTATTCAAGAAAATAACAAACACGCTATCAACAATAACAGATTTGATAAAATTTCACAAATACATGAAATCAATAACAAAAAGAAATAGTGAGATTTGATAAAATGTACCTAGTACACAAACAAGGAGGAAAAAGAACAAATTGACGAGAGTTTACCCATTTGCTTGTAATGAAAAAAAAAATATATGCAAATATTATTTTGGAATATGAATATTTAAAGGTAGGAAGTGTGTAAAATATATAAATTCTAATTAATTGAAAAGACATATTTGGTAAGACAACAAATGGATTAATTAATAATGATTCGCTAAATTTGTAAAATCTTTGACTTGACCTGTTTTATTGGGAAAAAAATATTAATGTTCTTGTTAAAATGAATAAAAGGAAACTTTAATTTTTTTTGTTCTTTTATCTAATAGGAGTATATATTTTATTAAGATGCTAACTTTCTGTTACAATAATTAATAGACATTATGATTTGTCATTTTTAAAAAAAATAAATAAATATTCTCTAGAAAAAAAAACTTAGGCTCTTACCTCTTTATTTATCTAAACAATATATAAATAATTTTAAATTAATAATTTTTGTTTACTTACAAAAATTAATTTATTTTCTGAAAAATATTTTTCAAGAAAACATCTTCCACCGTATGCTCTATATATTGATAGATATATTACCTTATTTTTATTGATAAGATTTATTTTGGTCTTTCATAATATCCATTATCAAACTATATGCATTGTTGGAATTATCTCATAAACTTATGTATACTAGTTAATTTACACAATAAAACTTCAATTAATTAAATTAAGTCATTGGTGATTTTATTTAATTTATAAGCTATAAGTTTAAATAACAAAAATAACTATTGATGTTTCTATTATTATAAATTATAAATTATATACAGCAACTACAATCAAACTTAATTTTGACACATTTTTCTTGATTTGATAACAATAGTTTTGGTAAAGAAAATATGTTTATTCCTTTTTCTTTATTTTCTTGCAATTTTAATTTTTTTCCTTACTTTTGTTTCTTTCAAAGAAAAGCATCTCCATTTTTTAAACATTCCTCACATGAAAAATAAATCATGTCTTATCAAATTACCATTTAATTTCTCTTTTATCTATACAATAAAATTATTATTTTTGAAGTAGATATAAAATAATCATTTAAATATATTCTTGAATAGTTTTGATCTTTTGAATTTGTAAAAAAAAATAAGCAATATTGTTATTCATCATATATTTAGCAAACTTTTAAGGTTAGATATAACAAGAATTATTTAAAAAGAATATTTAATCAAAAACACAAAAAAAAATTGTCTAAAAATTGCAAGATCCAAAAGTGCATCAAATATAATAGAAATAACCAAACACAAAATAATTAGTTGCACATTATATAAATAAATAAATAAACTGCACAGTAAAAGATAAGGAAAATTACCAAAAAAGTGTACATAACTCTAAATTAGAGTTTCTCTCTCTACCCCTTTTTCTTATATGATGTTTGACGCTCTTATTAGTTTGATTATTTCGAATTTACATTATATAAGATCCAGTCGGAGGAAAGTTCTCCCTATCAAAGATGTTTATATATTTACGATTCAAGTTTAAAATCTTCAATTAAGAAATGAACAATCTCATTCATCACACCACATTTGTTTTTGATGGTAATATGAATTTATGTTAGATCTTCATCTTTCATAGAATTCTCCTTAAACGAAACAATTAGAATATATTAATAAGCATTTACAAAAAATAAACCATACTTATTTTTAGAGGACAACACACATTGCTTCACGTTCATCCTTAATCAAAGGTCTCAAATTTAAGTTTTGGATTTGGAGAAAATTCGATTAATACTTATTTTTAGAGGATGACACACACTGTTTCAAGTCAATCCTTAACTAGAGGTCTCAAATTCGAACAATATGGAGAAAAATCTTGTCGATAACATCACTCTTTTTTTTCCAGTTGAATAACCCTTGGATGGGTAGGGGCTGAGCGACACCCCCAGGCCTTATCATTAATAACAAAAAAAATAAAATACAAGGAGGGGGCATAAACCAAACCTCCAGACTTAAGATGGTTCGGAGTCAACTTTTCAAAGGGAAGGTCAACTCTCCCCCTTACAATTAAAGATGAATTCAAAATACTAAGTACCTAATGAGAGGACTCCTCTCAATACAAAGCATCTAGAAAGCATAAACTACGGAGACTCTCCCTTTACAAGAAAGCCTATAACTAACTTGAAATAAATCATATAATGCGTGATTTAAATTTAATCAGGATTCTAATACGAATACCAAATGTTGAAATAATATATATTTAATATAGATATCGAACATATACCAAAAGAGAAAAAAACAATAGGGAACCATAATACTGAAAAAGAAAGATAAATTCAGGTATAATTCTTTCCATTAAATCGAATTCCAATTAAGAATGCATAAATAAATCACATGTAGTATTGAATCAAAAGTTTTTTTTGTGTGTGTGTGTTCTAACAATCATGATGACAATTGCAAATTCTCAATGCTGAGCCAGGGAGTGTCTCACAACCACCATTTGGATTTTTCGTCTTAAAACTACTAATACATTTGTTTTCACAACACTGTTCATCACAAACTTTTTCACTGCATACACCCAAAGCTGTTAAGCATTGATCATCTCGTACTATCACATGTGCACCTATGCTAGTCGTATCACGAATTCCACTAGTACCTGTTCATGAACATAACATAATACACGTTATCAATAACAACATATCTAGTAAAACTTCAGAGATAGATGAAATGAATAACCAAAAAAGTGAGAATTGATAAAATGTACCTAGTGCACAAACAAGGAGGAGGAAAAAGCACAAAGTTGATGAGAGTTTAGCCATTTGCTTGTAATGAAAAAAATATATATGACAAAAATTATTTTGGAATATGAATATTTATAGGTAGAAAATGTGTAGAAAATCTAAAATTTAATTAATTGAAATGATATATTTTGCAAAACATGAAATGGATTAATTAATGATTGCTAGATTTGTACAATTTTTGACTTGACTTGACTTGTTTTATTGGGAAAAGAACATTAATGTTCTTGTTAAAATGAATAATAGGAAATTTTATTTTTTTTATTCTTTTATCTAGTATGTTTTATTAAGATATTAACTTTTATGTTTCAATAATTAATTAACATTATGATTGGTCAAATATTTTTAAAAAAAAATCATTTTCAATTGGTCAAAACATTTTTAAAATATTTTTATAGGTCAAATATTTTAATAATATATTCTCTAGAGAAAGAAAAAAAAAGCTTACACCCTTACCTCTTTATTTATCTAAATTATATAAAAATAATTTAGAATAATAATTTTTATTTACTTACAAAAATCAATTTATTTTCTAGAAAATATTTTTCAAGAAAACATTTTCCACCGTATGCTCCATGTATTGATAGTGATATTACCTTATTTTTATTGATAAGATTTATTTTGGTCTTCATCATAACCATTATCAAACTATATTAATTGTTGGAATTATCTCATAAAATTAAGTCCTTCGTGATTTTATATTATTAGTGTTTCTAGGCAGAATAGTTTGGTGGACTCTTGTACTTGTATCGGATTATATTATGGACTCTTCTACTTAACTTTTTGTCATCTAAATCCTTATACTCAACATAACACAATATATTAAACCCCTTTGATCATTAATCATCCTCATGTGGCATTAATATAGATGAGCTGGCAAGAGAATGTAGTCACACGCCTGCAAAGACAAGTGAACATGATATTTGAAATTTCAACTTTTACTTTTAAGTTATTAAAATTATTTTTTTTAAAAAAAATAAATTTAAAAAGGAAAAAAACTCCATCTTTTTCCCCACACTATCTCCATCTTCTTCACCACACACTATCTTTTTTCTAGCCACCCCGATCCCAATCTATTTTTCTTTCTTATCCACACCCTATTATTATTTATCTTTATTTTTCTTTCACTTCTTTCTTCTTTCCCCCACCCATCCCTATTTTTTTACTCTTCAATCATCATTTTCCCTCTTTTTCCCCTCACATACCTGAACTTCTATCTTTCTGTCTTTCCTTGCTCCTTTTCAACTTCTTTCTTGTTTTTTTTACCCTAAATAAAAAATGAAATTGGACAAAAAAATTTGAACATAATAAGCAAATAAAAATCAGAAATTAGTAGAATTGTTGATATCTCAAATGAGTAACTTGACCACTTTTGGTGTCAAAATTATTCTTGTATTTGTAAGCAATTTGGGGTGTGAAATAGTAGTTAGCATTGGATTATGAAAAGTTTGGTTGTTATTATTGTGGTTGTTAGATGACTTAGGTTGTTGTTACTTTGATCTCGCCGGTAAAAATGGTGTGACGCCGGTAAAAATGAACGTCGCAATCAAAAATGGAGACGATGTAATGGCTCCATCAATTTCCTCTCCATCGACAAGATCCTCTACCTTGTTCCGATCAGTTTGTATTGTTATCCCTGCCGAAAAATTGAAAATGCTATATTGGGTTTTACAATTAGATTCTAATGGGTTTTACGACGCCCGCTTGGTGGTGACATGGTGATTGGGAGGATTAGAAATGTCAATAATAAATTAAAATGGCATTAGCAGGGGGTGAAGTAGTTTCATGACTTTATCAGATTGCTGGATTGTGAAAAAATCAAAGAAGAAAAAAATGAGGATATGGAGATGGTGGAGTTTTGACAGTGATGGTGGGTTAGGGAAGGTGGAGGAAAAATGTACAAAAATAATTATTTTATTTTATTTAATAAAATAGATTTTTTTTAAATTTGTCTTTTATTTAATATTTTTACTAATAATTAAAAAATTATTATGAAAAAAATTATGGCTTGGCATTAATATATATGACATGGATATAACATGTCATCTATGTAAGGGAGAGTGAGATACACACATGGTCAGAGGGATTTGAAAATTTCATTTTGATTAAGTTTAGGAGTCCAGATGACAAAAAGCTAAGTAGAAGAGTCCATAATACAATCCGATTCAAGTACGAAGGTCCACCAGACTATTCTGTCATGTTTCTATTATAATAAATTATTAATTATATAGAGCAACTACCATCAAACTTGAATTTGACACGTTCAATACTTTTGGTAAAGAAAAGATGCTTATTCCTTTTTCTTAATTGTCAATCCAAAATAGACGTGATGACATTCGTCTTATCCCACCAAGACAAGTCAGTCTAAAACTCAACCATTTAAATAAAATGTAGAAATTTTATAATAAACTCAAAAATATCCCCAAAATCTGGTTGTCACGTGTACAACCTCTAAAGTACTACAAATGAATCAATACGAGTATCATATGACATTGTTTCTAGAGTAGAATAAGATCAATAATAGAGATAAGAAGGTCTGCCGAAATGACAAGCAACTACCTCACGAATCTCCATAAGAAGTCTCTGACAATGAGAAGAGAAAATTTCACAAATGTCCAGGGTAATAACCTACAAAAAAAATTGTAGAAGCAAGAGGTGAGTACCAAACCACACGGTACTCATCAAGTAAACCTCTAAACACAAGCTAAGGGGATTAAATACAGGTACTCCTTACACCCCAACTGAACCTCCACAACTACAACCTGCATAAAACCAGCTCATCTAACAGTTCACCATTTACAAGTACATATCTCAACAACATTCTAACAATCTCATATTCTCATCAACTAGCTCAATATACATCAACTACAACCTCAATAAAAAGGCACTCACAATATAAGCAACACACAAGATCAGGTTCATCAAATACAGGTAACTAAATATCAAGTATTTTTCAACCACCAATAAAATACATATTCATAAAGAAAGAAGAATGTCATGGGATGCAATACAATAAGACACCATGAAATAATATGTCTCAAAATACCAAGTATTCTCTCAACCGTATATACATGATACTCCTCGAAAATACATCGAGAGTTCATGACCCATGGGGGACTCACGGGTCCATATACCAACACGGACGATCTCCACGTGTCTGTGCGGACAATCTCAACACACTATCATAAATCAAATAATTTTCGCACGGACGATATCCATATGCCCAAATTATTATTATAACTTCTTCATTACACGGACGATCTCTACGTGCCCAAATAATCATAACTCGATCTCAACACGGATGATCTCAACGTGTTAGACCTTTACTCAGACCCAAACCATGTCAATGTATGTGCACAATATTACATCAAATAAAGGAGATGATGCAACATCGGGTTCAATAAAGAACAGAATCACACATAATAAATCAAGTCAATAATATATCAACCAATGCTCATATGTTTTTGCATTGTCGGATTATAATCCACGTTCTATAGTAATAAATTGTCTTTATAACACCGGTACTCGTACCATACTTAACCCATCACACACAAACAATATATTACATTACCTTTTATTATCCCTTTTCATCATTAGAATTAATCAAGATGGACAAGTAAACCTTTCACCAAGTTCCATTACTCCCAAACACATACCAAAAGGAAAATACATGAATTTCATACACTTAACAAGGGTTTAGAAATCCACTTGCCTCGATCAATCAAGAATTCACTCTAAAATTTGAGTCTTCCCCTTTCGTTGAACTTCCAAATCAATGCAATCTATTCAAATAAATTACCACAATAAGATTTCAAAACTCACAACACTTATATTACTATGTGTTTATCCTTGATCCAAAAATTAACTTATGATCAAGTTCCTAAATCTTGATTTCAATTATCATATTTTCTACGTTTTCAAGCCTAGGGTAAAATTTCAATTTCTCCAAATAATACAACCTAATAATTTTCATATAATGTAATATTATCAATATTTAATTTCATATAATAATAATATAATAGTACCAACAATTGATTTTTCTTGAATAATTATTACAATAAAGTAAAAGAAAGATCCAAATTATTATCAAGTTACATACAGTAACGTTAATGGAGAAAATCAAACACCTCAGCACCTTTCCAAACGTATAAACCTTTTGAGCATTTTTTTCCCCCAAATTTCAATTTCTCAAATGAAAAAAAATATGTCATCAATTAATGACTACCTAAACTTCCACAACATGCCCTTATATATATTTTTTAATTTATTATTATTATTTATTCATTTTCTTTTATTATTATTATTTGCAATAAAATAATCTTTTATTAAATCTGAAAATCATTTTATCTATTCTTATAAGTCATAAATTATTTATAAAAGCTACTAAAAATGATTCATATAAAAATAATGATTAAAATTCATATTAGTCGTTACATTTATTTTCTTGCAATTTTAATTTTTTTCCTTGCTTTTGTTTCTTTTTTATTTATACTATAAAATTATTATGTTTGAAGTAGATATAAAATAATCCTTTAGATATATTCTTCAATAGTTTTGATCTTTTGAATTTGTAAAAGAATAAGCAATATTGTTATTCATCATATATTTAACAAACTTTTAAAGTTAGAGATAACAAGAATTATTTTAAAAGAATGTTTACTCGAAAACATAAAAAAAAAATGGTTCTAAAAACTGCACAGTAAAAAGATAACGAAAATTACCAAAAAATGTACATAATTCTAAATTAGAGTTTCTCTCTCTCTCTTCCTTTTTTTTTTTTCTATACGATGTTTGGCGCTTCTATTAGAGTTCAATTATTTCGAATAATATATCGTATAGGATTCAATTAGAGAAAAGTTCTCCCTATTAAAGATATTTATATACCCACGATTCGAGCTTAAAATCTTCAATTAAGAAATGTACAGTTTCATCTATCGCACCACATTTTTTGTTAATGGTAATATGAATATATATTAAATCTTCATCTTTCGTAGAATTCTCCTTAAACAAAACAATTAGAGTAT